GATGATGCACACAAATCAGCAAACAGTGCCCACACTAATGTCGTGCATCACTCTTCACCAATGTACAGTAAGTCTTAAGAACATGGAAGCTATCTCTTGTATCTTTAGCGAATTTGTATAAAAATGGGGTAGTTCAGTAGATTTAACTTTTCAGATGACGTCATACAACAAACAACAGGGTAATCAAAAGGATATAACTTACCTTTAGTGACGTAGAGGTAGAAGAAGTCGATGTACAAAAGCGTTTGTACGCATCCAGCTACAATGGCTATCAAATCATACACATCCTCCGTGTAATAACGGTAGATCCAGTTCACCAAATACAACGCCCGATAAGAACCAAGAGCAAACAGATAGTGCGCGGTGATCGTTTCAGCTTGACCAGTGCTGCTAATCATGAACAGCTGGGGCAAAATGGCTACCGCTTCTAGATAGATAGAGAAGGTCCACAATATCTGAGGTAAAAATAAAAAGCAAAAAGCGGCAACTGTAGCTGGTATTTGATAGAACAATGGAGTGTACACAGTGAATTAGAGCCTCGGCACTTACCTGCCATTACAAAGATCCTATTCGGAGAATGGTGGAAGGGACCACTGAATAACATGCGTTTGAAGAAAAATTGAATGGTTTCAGTTACCGAAATCTCGTTCATGTCTACTTCATTGTCTGTTACTTGACCTTCTGAACTTTCCCATTTATCCTTCCCAGTTACTTTCATTCAGTTGTACGTGCAATGAAGCCCGAATACTAAGCATTCTATCTATGCAACGATTTTATTCTATAAGAACGTAAAAACAATACACATGGAAATTTAGGTCAGTTCCTTGGGAGGCTTCTATACTGGCTAAAGATCGCAATCGCCAGGCAGTGACAGCAGAACTGAAGTAGAATGAAAATGTAATCTAAAGTTGCATGTCAGCATCTTCCTTAAAACAAATATTGGGACTTACAGATTGCTCTGGAATCAACTCAGTGATTAGAATCGACACGACAGTCTTATGCTTTATGACACCATGTTGTACACAGCTAAGTTNCCATTTCAACCAAGTCATTAACTACTTTTCTGATTGCAAGGAAGGCGGTAGTTAGTCTGCGCAGATATGAGCAGTTATTAACACCGGATGCTATTTAGGTGGATACGACAGACATCCACGTTTCAAATGCCCAGATGAGGATAGTTTGCAGCAATTACGGGCTTGCAGATCGCTTCCAGAGAAACGGCTAACCTCGGACACAGCACCACTCTCAGTTGCTGCTTTCCTTTAGCACGATTACAAGGATCACTGAGAATCACTTGTAAAGAATGACCCGCAGAATACATTGGGCGAACCAGTAGCTAACTTAAGACAAGGATAACCGAACCTAAGAGAAAAGAAAAGCATCAACCTACGGACAAAACAACTCTAGCAAAACTAGAACGAGACTCAACGATCGCTCTTCACGCCATAGTTGGTCACACCATAGACTACGACAACCCGAAAACACTCCAACTCGGATTTTGAAATTGCACCGAACGCTTGCATGCCGAAGCCTTGGCCATTATCACCCACTCTTCAGGTGTCAACAGGAACCACGGAATCAAGATCTAGAGCACTTGGACTACCCTGACATCCCTAATGCGTAACCACGATGAAGGTCACGGTGCCACTTGACCCCACCTGATGATGGGAGTTAGTATGATAGACAACGAATTATTTAGAGCACCACACACGATGAAATATCCGTTGACTTGTGATCCTTTCCACTGAGTCATTTGATTATAAACCTGCCTTCAGAAAGGTTACCCATGGTAACCGAAACGTAGGCGAGTATATATCTCTATCTCCGAAATCGGGGGTGGGTATCTAGGTTTGCGGCTCTGGTTGTGGATTCCTCGAGAAAATTCACCTGCCTTGGCCTGGGCAACCTGGCAGTATTCGGCCCACTTGCAAATCGTGAAACGTTTTTCTTTTTATAAAGCTCATTGTACCACGAAATGTTTGGTACATAGTCTGGTAGATATAGAATTATCTACCTACATCACTGTTATTAGCATCATAACGATAAACAACACATGGCGCATCGATTTTTCGATATCCTACTATCATTTGGTTATGATGTATTGAGAATGGGATCCGTTAGGAAGATCCTATAGAAAACAAGCTCTAAAGGTTATATTCATGAAACCTTTATACAGCAATATCACATACAGCTATCGAGCATGATCTGGATGACATGCATAGGTTCGGTTGGTTACACGAGAGGCCACTGTCTCCTCAATTTATGGAGATCGACTACTTGCTACGGTGGACGAGCGGGTTTACCTAATTCTCTACGCCTAACCTCAGCACAGCTCGTTCGGTTTCCCCATCAGACTCGTGCCTACAATAACGATACCAAGTATTGTGTGAACAGAGACGAACATGAAAGGGATCCGATTAATTTTCTCAACACAATAAATATGCTTTTTCTATCTAAACAAACAAATACTGGTCTGATGAAACCAATAAACTTCAAATCACGACGACAGAAAACTGGCTAATCCTCATATAACTCTTAGTTTGCTGACAAGACTCGTTCCCTCGTACTTAATCACATACTTCTGTCCATTTCAACGCATCGGGCTTGTGATGAATGCCAAACGGGGTAAGCCTTGTAGTCACAAGGATTTATTTACTCATGGAAACCGAATCTGACATCCCCTCAATCATCTTTAACCCTCGCAGATAGCTTCTTATTAGGATTCGGACGAGAACTCTAATCGTTCTCAAGGTTTTTTGGGCACCTTGGATGTTTGACCCCGCCGAAACAATCGCGACCCGAAAAACTGGACACTGGTCACAAATAGATCGCAATTTATGCACACCCCTTGCGGTGCACTGGCTAGTCAAATGCCACGGTTTCCGAGAAAATAAGCCTGCTTCCGTCCACGAGCAAACCAGAAGTTTTTTTCGTAGCGTTTTATCGTGGCTTGCTTGTCACAGCCCAAATTCAGACGTGTCCAATAAATATATGACTTGCATTGACCTAAATCAGATGTGCTATTTATTTGGGGCGGAAGAGAACAACATAGCCTACATGTACAATGAGCCAAATCCCTATTTATTTCATGTAATACACACCATGGTCGAGAACAAGACGGGAAGCAACGATAAACTAACATTCGATGACCATTGAATAATTAGTTACCGGTAACTAATTAATTTATGTGATTGAATCAGAATTTGACGTATTATCAAGTGCATATGATTTAAACTGCTCACCTCTAGAACCTCCGGCTTGTGGTTTACCAGAACAGCAAGGCCGCCAATCGGGACAACAAAATACGGCAAACGGAAAAGATGATCCCCGGTGTCAAGAGTCGATTTGAATTTGCCATACATGAAATAGACTGTTGTATAAGAGAGTAGGACAAAGATAATCTTCATCAGGGAGTTGTAAAGCGAGACATAATACACGAACAAATCCAAATATCTTGTGGTGAAAACCAGAGCGAACATAACTTGTGTCTTTCCGGACAATCCTACCGAGATTAGGGGTTGGTATAATGAGGAAGCCACTTTATACCTCTGCATGATCGCGATGAATATATTTTGAGGAGCAGTATTAATATCGCGGCAAGGTGGGACAAGTCCCCGGTGAGTCTGAAAACATTCATTCTTCAAGAGTGTGTCAGATACGTGGATTAGACGGCCTTCAAGGACAAAATTTGGCAGGGTTAAACAAATTCCGAATTTCAAATTTCAGGAGGTTCAGTTCAGTTCAGTTCCAACACGTTGACGGCGGTGTGCCAGTTAGTCCAGTTTCCTGCAGCGGTTGGCTCCAGGGATCCC